TGGGGTTGGACCCTCATAAATTACTTACCAACATCTTGTACCTCTTCTTGTTCTCATTAAAGTCAACAGGATTGATTCTCTACTGTGCAAACATACTACACATACATTTTTGCTGGTATTTTAGCTATCATTTGAACAAATTTAATAAAAGGGGAAATTGAATTCTATCATGACTGCTTATGAATATCAGGATCAGTAGCTGCCAATATATAACTATTCATTTTGTTTAAAAGCTTTAAAGAATCTATGTGTTACTTACAAAAGTGCTTTCCTGACACTATCATTAGGCATGCCTGTAGTATTCCTCTGTGGAACTTTGCCATATATATTGGATATGACTATATTAGCAAATCACTGGAGCACAAAGCCAAAATGGCATGGGCTTATTGAAAGTTTATGGTCAGGAAAGGTGATGTATTAATTATAGAAAAGGAGATAGGATTCATTAAGCCCAGAACCTCAGGGCTCAGTGCCATTTGGAGAAGCTTTGGGGGTTGCATTCCTCTGCTGGGGGAAGAGCTGGGGGGAAGTGGTGGGGCAAAATGCCAGGTTGCTTTCATTTGAGGCTCTTACTGCCGGTAACTGACATTTAGGAAAGGCATTTCAACTGTTACACATGGGGAGATAGGGACACACAAAAGTTGGGAAACTACCAAACACTTGTGCTTGGTGGTAAAGAGTGACCATTTGGGAAATCCTGTGCAGCTGGGGAACCCAAGTCTAAGTTTCTGCAGCCCTTCATTAAATCCTATGCCAAAGGTCAGTAGGAAAATGCTGCAGTACTGACTTGTTTTTCTCATGTCTGATTAACTAGGGTTAATATTGGCCACTGATTTTAATAGCAATTTTGCCACTGGATCAACTTGAGGATTATTCGGAATAAGTCCCCATGATTTCAGTGGTCTTACTTTCCAGTCAGTGTGCATAGGTTTTTTTTTAAATATTTCACTAACTTTTCCAACTAAAAGCTGTCCATAGTAAAATATTAAAAGCCTATCAAACAATAATAGTTACAACAGTACTGAATAGAACAATAGAGCAGCAGATAATACACATTGATCAATGCAGAGGAACAAAATAAGATCAGCAGCAACATACTTCTAGCAATTCAAAGTCCTGCCAGAACACGAACATCTTCAACCTTGCAAGAAATGTTGTCAGGACATGAGCCAAATGGACCTCCAGTGACAGAACATTCCAAAGCTGGAGAATAGTGACAGAAAAAAATATGCCCTGTATTCCCATGAAGCAAACCTCAGAGTCTGGCAGGACACATAACAGGTTCTCCCCTAATGACCTCAAGGAATGGTTTGTACTCTAGAGAATACAATATCTTAGAGACTTTCTGTGGTCAGGTAAACAGGAACAGTGCCATTTCCTTCAGTAAAACCAGGCATCATCAAATACCAATTATCTTCTAATAGCTTCATAATTTTCTAAATACAAATGAATGGGAACTAAGTATGTTTTCACCACCTGTCTACCTTTTGTAAAAGGTCCTCATGACTTTTATCTGCTACTGGAAGACTGGGGTAGTAATGAAAAAAAGAACAAATCTATAGGCTATGTTTATGATGTATTTGAATGATTCTGTGATTAGTCTCAGAGCACATTGCCTTAGAGCACTTAGTTAAAATGACCATTTTGAGTCTTCGAGTTAGATTATCTCTATTCTTGATTTGTGGAGTCAGAATGATGATCAGTTTTATGCAAGGAACTATGAGGAAATTCTTAAGGTACAGGGTGATTTAAAAAACTATTAAGGCACTGTTTAGGGTGGCTTCCTGTAACCCTTCTAACTTAGAGAATTCTGGGTATCCGAAGACTAGAGGAACATAGAGGCAAGGTTTGCCTCTGTGCTTCTCCCACCTGCAAAAGTCATGCAGAGCGGATTTCAGCCACCAGTGCCTTTTGACCCTGCGCCTGAGGCACTGTTGAGATTCCTTGTTTCATGGCTCCCCTCTCAGTTCCACTGTGCCAGTTCCAAAGTCTCATTTGTGACTTTGGAGCCACAACCTGTACAGAAAGAACTGTGCCAGCTATGAGGATGGAGGGTGGGTGTTCCCAGTTCTGACCTTAGAACACATTACCAGCGCTAGTGCTATGCTGTCCAGCAGTGCTTGGTGGCCATAGGATTGTTCTCTATGACTTTGATTATGCCATCATATTGACTGAAAGGACAATCTTAAGCTTGTCTGCCCAGAGGTAAATCCTACTGGAAATGGTAAATGGTTGCAGGATTACAGCTTAAAAGGACTAAGTCATTTATAGGAATTCATATAATATCTACAGTACATTGTGAATTGCCTAGGCATCAGCTATTGGATGGTACAGAGAACTGAATAATAATAATGACAGCATTAATAATAAGTACTAATATGGAATATTAATATTTAATAATAATTCTAAGCTACTGTATAGTTTAGAAATACACAAAAACATTTGAGTAATAAAATCAGGAAGAAGTCTTTTCTGATAAACTTTCAGTTATTTTCAAGACACTTTTAATATTTGGGTCTATATATTTGTGTCATTCTCATTACATCTGTTCAGTCTTAGATAATAAAAAATAACGCTTTGGTATGGTAAATTTTTGCAGAAACTGTTCCTTAAGAACTTGCATTTTTTCAGATATTTCTTTCAAATCCAGTAAGAGACAGTAACCGTGAATAATCTGGTAGTTTGAAAATGGAGTTGACTACTATGTAGGGATTTCTGGCTGGTATTAGAGCATGACAGTTCTTTTCTATTGGATCAGCATGGAAAAGGTGCAAAGTTCTTAATTTTTTACCTTCTCAAGAGTACATTCACTGACTGTATGATCATGAATTGGAATGACTCCCTTGCCAAGCATGATCATGAACTGGAAATTTGCTACATCTGCATATTTAGCTAAGAATGTTATTTGACTGGTGGAACTCAGAACTGAATCTATGAAACAGTTGCCAGGCTGGGGGGATATTTCTTCTAGAAACTGACGGAAAGATGCCTACACATTCAGCTTTATTTGCCTATTTGTTTAAATATATTAAGCTAAATTTGTACACTAGCCAATTCTACTATAATTCAGATAAATGACTAAGACTGCAAACTTCTGCATACTTGTCTGGGAGTAAAGCCTGTCAAGCCTACTTCTGAGTAGACTTTCCTAGGATCACATGTTTAGACTACAATCATGTACAGTGTACATTGTACACATTTCTCCAAGAGCAAGTTCAGCTGAACTCAGTGAGACTTATTTCTGAATAGGCATCCATAGGATCATTTTTTAACAAAATCTGTGAGTTTTTATCTTGTTTTTAAAAAATCTAAGTGTCTTCTGATTTATTTGCAAAAAGGCACAACAAATTTGAAAATTCCATCTATTCTGAAAAGAAGTTTAATTTTGTGCTTTGTTAGTCCTTTGTTAGTTCTCCAAGGACAGGAAGCTAAATAGTTGTGGGATGGCTCCCAGGAGAGCTTCTGTATGCACTGCAGCTCTGATTTCAGTTGACTTAAGCACACCTAATTCTGTTGTAGATTGTGACCTAATGCATGAAGGTAGCTTCATCAATTTTGGACACTGGGGATAGTAAAAGCAAGAAAAAGCCACTCAGGGAGTGCAACTATGAGCTATTGTGGAGACATACAAATGGAAATAACAAATAGATAAATAAGATATGGCTTCCTAAGTATTTGGAGCCAAAGTTGTTCGTAATGACCCTTTTTTCATAATATATTTTTAAATATTTTCTAGGTTTCCAGACCCTGAATCACAGATGTAGTTTATAAAAAGTTCTTCTTGCACCCCATTTAATTCTGACTGTGTGCTGCTCTCAACCATATAATTCAAAGCAGTGCCAAAACACCTACATGATTTTTGTTTTGTTTTGTTTTGTTTTTGTCTAGTACATTCACCAAGGGTCAAACCAGATGAGATAGTAGAAGTTCCATGATTGGGTTACTCTCCCTTTGGTTCAAAGCAGTGTGTGTATAAATGAATCAAATTGTGGCTGTGCTACTGAATGAAGGAATCCTTTCCCCTATTGTTGCAACATAAATACTGCAACATAAATTCTTCCTCATGGCTTGTTTTGCCCTTAGCAGGAAACATACGTAGTTGCGGGGTGGAGAATGGAGAGAAAGGGAAATTGTTTTGATCCAAAAGCAAAACAAAGCTCAGCATGGTTGGACAACTGTTCACCACTTTTCTAGCTTGGCTGTCAAGAACTAGGTAACTTCAGTAGAAAGATAAGTTACTTGTGAAGCACACTAAGACAATGTTTATGTTACTGTACTGAAACCTTATAATTTGTGTGTAGTAAAACATTTAACAAGATCTAATTAAGTTAAGAGGAGAAGGAGGGCCCTAGGAATGTCTCCAACTCTGCACATTTTGTCACCCTGTACTCATGTAGGGTGACGATCTAAAAGGAACTGCCTCCTCCATACGTGGAGGTTTGCCATGTCAGCCAGGACACTATTTTCCCAGGGCCCTGGCTCACACAAGGACCCTGCATGGACAAGCAGGAGTTCATTTTTGGATGATTCAGACATGATTAAAGGCAATGCAAAGACATGAGGAGAAAGGCAAGGGCTAGAGCAGACCTTCTTACATGTTGACTGTATGCTGGTTAAGAATGCCCAAATGGGGCTGTGGTTAAACATTCCAGTTCTTCCCCTCTTCAGCATTTGCTATCAAATGATTTTACATTTTAATTGATATCACTGTTTTACTCTGAGACTGTAACCAGGTTTAAAGTTATATATGTATGCAGTTGTTAGATGTGTCCAATATCGGTGTTTCCATACATGACAGATCATTCTCCATGTAACAACAGCTTAGATTCAGTAAAAATGGTTGCTGTCTTGTTTTCCATTGGCTTCAGAAGCTTGTGGATAGCAGTGTGCTTCCTAATCAGAACAATAAAAAATGTAACATTAAAAGGTTCAAGTTAAACCTGCAGAAACAAAATGTGTAAGTGTTCCAACTTAACCCTTCGCATTCTGGCATTTTCCAGACTGCCAGCCAAATGAACACTTTAGGAGGAGGTGTATAAATATGTCTGCAGCACCCAGAGAGTTAATCCACCCCATTGTGCATAGGTGTTGGAGCTCTTATGGTATGTAAGATCATACAAAATTCAGAGTTATTTTGTATTTTCCTTTAATATATACATTTTCCCAATAAGCATCTTCTGAAAACGTACTTCTTTTGTTGGCACTATTCAATATGCATTTCTAAGGGGCTGTAATGAAAGGGAACCAAGACCCAGGTGATACTACTCCACCCTTTCCAAATTCAGGGTAGGAGTTCTTCTCCCCAGTGTGCTGCAACTAGTCCCACTGTGCCTGTACAAACCTTCCCCAACTTGGTGTCACCCACATATTTCAGACTTTGAATAGTATCCAGTTGTGTCCCTGTGTTGGTACTAATTGTTGCACTAGGACAAACTGACATGCAACTAGCGCCTGCTAGACTGATAGGGAAAAAAGTGTTAATTTTCTGCAAAGTGGCTAATTTTGTCATTGCCCTATCAAGCGCCAGTTATAGTTGTGCACTTGTTGAATTCTAGCACAACATCATTAGCACTGGCTAGGACACAGTTTGATAAGGACATAAGATCCATCTAGTTCAGCACTCTGTTCATACAGTGACGAACCAGCCACCTGTAGGAACCCTGAAGTTGGACGTGAATGCAATAGCACATACCCTCCGATCCCCATCAGACCCAGCCAGCGTAGCCATTTATCTGAAATGTTAGGAGTTGTAGTCCCAAGCAAGTGGAGGGCACTAAGTCAGAGAGGCTGATCTATATTGTGAAAGACTTCCAACTGATTCAGTAGTAAAAGAATCGGAGCAGGCCAGTCTTTAGGAGTGGAGCCACTACTGATGGGCTAGAGTTCCAGGTCATTTTAGGAAAAAGGCAATACCACAGAATTATAATTAAATCTATATCTGAAATAAGCCACGTAGGCCTATTTAACCTTGAAGACAATGGAACAGGCTAGAAGTGCTACCCTTTCCCTAATGTTGTTTTCATATATACATATGTATAATTATGAATACATCTGGGTTTGGAACATACTTGTGTCACGACTTTTAATCAAACTGTGATTCACAACCCCACAGTGTCTTTTCAGTGAAACTGCTTACCACCATTTTTGGTTCAAGTGCTAGCATGGGGTACCTAGCTGACAAACCCCAAACATGCCCATGGGCCATGATATCTTCCCTGTCATGCAACAATTTCTGAGGTTATTATAACTGTTAGGAACATTCCCAACAGCTGCTAGCCAGGCCCACATACTTTTTGGAAGAAACAAGGCAGTACAGTGTGTTATCCCTGAGACAAGGTAAATGATGCATCTGCTTTAGCCAGGAACTGCAGGCTTGCCATTGAACATTGACTACTGAGCAATTCCTAGAGAATTTCTAGAATTTGATGGGGCAGAGTTGCCAGTATTAGGGGGACTAAGTTTGTGCATTCATACATTTTTGTATGTTGTAGATTGTATTCGTAAATGTATTTAACATTTGCTTACTTTAAACACAATTATTTATTTATTTATTTTAGACACTGTATAGAGCTTTTTATTTTAAGGATTCCAGGATATGACTTAGTATACTCTATTTATATATAACTGCCAGTTTTCAAACTTTTAATGTGCTTAAGTGGTGTTATTCCTCTAAAAAAAGATATTTAATACCTTGCTGCATTTTTCAACAGTAATGCATTATGACAGAATGCTTCATTTCATCACTAATAAGTTCAAGCCGTTCTACTTGAGTTTTGTATCACTTGCTTGTATTTACTGAGCTGTAGTTAGTTCTGTCATTCTTGTCTCAGTGACAGAAAATAATATGCTAAGCAAGAGTCCATGTTAACTGTTCTTAGCTATACTACTGCAATTTGAGTTTCTGCCCTGGTTGGTTAAAATTAATAAAGAGTTCTAGGTTTATTACAGGAATGCCTCATGGTGTTCTACCACCCTTGCAATGTAATACTGTGAAAGTATGGTTTCCTACATTTCGTAACATTAATTAAGGTCGCAGTCCTAACCAGATGATCATCAACCTCTGAACTTAGAGAATGCATTCAACTGGGCACTTCAGAGGGAGAGAGGGAAGGAAGTTGTAGAAGACAGTGGCTGCATTGTATGCTGGCTTATGCAGTCTCTTCCCCTCCTCTCCCCACAGAATGCCTCTGTGAGAGGCAACCAATATTCCTTCCATGCCAGCTCTGGGAGGGCCACAGAATGGATTCCAGCTTCAAGGTCAGGACCTCTGGCCAAGGATCTGGGATTCTGAAGTATCCATGGGCCCCTAGTTGCTGTCAAAGGGTCACAGGATCTCTCCTTCCAGAAACAATAATGCCTGGAAATACACTTTACAAAATATAATAAATCTAAGCACTCCTAAAGGGCAATGTATAGGTTCTTAGTTTCAAGCACTATCATTTCTTAAAAAATGACTCAAAGTGGTCTTGAGGTTTCTAATAAGAATGTTAATAGACCACTACTGATGCTGCTACATTAACTTACATTTGAGTTTGGGCCAATCACAGACTGTCAACTAACTTATCTCGCAGGGTGGTTATGAGGAGAAAAAATGGACTGCAGAATTATATAAGCCACCTTGGGTTCCTTGCAAGAGGAAAGAAGGTGGGCTATAAATAATAAAAGTAGTAGTAATAATATAAATGTTTCTTTACCGCGTGTTGAGCAATGCTTTCTGTTTGATCTTCCAGTGATATTAGATTATATTGCAAAACTTAATTCCATTTTTAAAAAGTTTTTAAAATCTGATTATTAATCATTAAATCAAACTCTTTTGTGCAGTCATAGAGATGTGATTAAAATAGTTCATTTATTGGAAAGACACATGTAGCACAGTTCTATATGGACAACAGCAGTTTTAAAGTGCCAAAGACCAATGAATTGCTGGAACAGTAAGCATGAATTTACGAGATACTGAGAAAGAACTGGCTCTGCTTGAGTATTGCACGTACATATGTAAACCTCTGTATTTGTTACTTAACCCCCTACTTAGCACCCTCCAGTGGTGCACACAAAGGAGTCCCAGCATGGTGCCTTCAGAGACCCAATTACATATATACACACACACAAACATGACATGCATACAACTTTCTAGCAGACTTCGTAAAAGTGAACCGAATACCCAAATTAGTTTCTGTTCAAAGCTGGTGTCTATATGCCACCTGTTCATATAACAAAATTATTGTAAGATCCTCAAGCCACTGCATTGTAGAAGATGATTGTTTAATATTCTGGTGTTCTATCAGCCTTCTTCTTCAAGTTCTTTGTGCATCAACCATATGGGCTCTGTGCTTATGTGGAGCCTTTTACTAGGAAGATACAATAGCTAAGAGCCTTTTGGTGAGAACCCCTCCCCCACTCTGACATTCATATAAAAGTAGGAAGTTCCTGACATTTCTCTCAGCTCTTCTTTGGCCGCCTTAGTTTTTTGGAAGTTTTTTCTCTCACACTCACTAGAGTTTTCTGAGCATTTTTTCCTACTCCCTCTTATTCTTGACAAACATAGTATCTTCTTTTTTATACCAGTTTCATACCAGTTTGCAGTCTCTTTTCCTGAACAAAACTACTCTCTTTCTAGCCTATCTACCAGAAAGGGAGGGGGGACAAAAAATAAAACAAAAAACCATTCCTTTTAATTTTCCACTGTATTAGACTCACCCTCTAATGGGATTCATTCATTCATTCATTCATTCATTCATTCATTCATTCATTCATTCAATGACCAGTTTCCCCACCGCCAGGCTTTATTAAGAAGGCCTGCAAGCATCAAGCTGAATTCCTACATGATGAGGTTTCGAATAATGATCTCTGTGCAGTTGACACCTGAGCATGCCTGAACTCTCTCACCTGTCCACTGCCACCTCTGTGACTTTGCAAAGGTCTGCATCTTCAGACATTGCCACTGCTCCATCAGTGGGTCCATCACTTCCTCCAATTCCAGGCAGATCCTTGAAACCCAAAAAGGCGAAAAAGTTGGCCAAACAAGCGAAAGAGGTGAAAGTGGCTGGTCAAAACCAACCAGTGCTGAACAAACTCTTAGTACCAGCTGTCTCAGAACTGAGTGCCCATGAAGACATCATATCAGCACCAAGGCTTGACTCCATCTCAGATATGCTACCTTCTCATCTCCCCTCAATGGCTATGGTATGAAGGGCACTGGTTATTCCATCACTAGTCCATCATCCACAAGAGCTTCTTAGGACCAACAATCAAAGGGATAGTTCTCATTTCCCCATGTTGGACTGGGACAGCTGCTTCCACAGCCCTACCAAGAATTCTTTGATCCTTGGGGCATTTTCTACCATGCCCCCACATATAATTCTTGGTTCAGGCTAACTACCAACCAGACATCTGTGGGGGATAGGAGGACTTTGTCAAGCTGCTACCGCCCTTTCACTACCTGCTGACTCTACTATGACCTGGGCCAACTTCTTCACTTCCGCAGTTTCATGAGCTCCCAGAGCTGGCCACCTCCATCTCTGTGTCACCACACCTGTCCAATTCTCCTGTCCTTGCACACTCAGTGCTGAGGACTATGAGTCCAGTGGCAAGACCTCACCACCAGTTGTACCCAACTATTCTTCAGAAGTGCCTGTGGATGTTGGGAATCCTGACTCAGCATTGGTGGATATGGGCCATTTTGTGGAGCACATACAGTGGATAGCCCATGCTTTTAGTATCATGATGCAGCTGCAACTGAGAGGGTGTCAGATCCAGTCTTCAATGCTATCCAGACTGAGGAAACAACACCAGTTGACATCCTCTTCTTGCCAACTCTCCTGTAGATGGTCCAGCAGTATTTATGATGGCCCCAGCGTTGAAACAAATGGAGAGGATGTATTGGGTGCAAGAGAAGGACATGAACTTCCTATTTCAACACCTGAAGCCAAACTCGGTCATCAAGTTGGCATAAACAAGATCAAATTGCCTGTACTCCACACCCTCCAAGAATAAGGGATACAGCCTGAAAGCTCTTGGGAGGCATATGTGTGCCTCTACAGCTCTAGGACTGAATGTGTTGAACTACCAAACAACCATGGTGAGGTATCAGTTGTTCTTGTGG